ATCGACATCAGCCCTAAAAATCCCACATCAATCAGGCTTAAACTGAAACACATGTTCTCATCATCCTGTTCTAAAAGTCACCAACCTGTGATGGCTTTTTAAACCTGAAAGCAACTCTTTTATTTGCTATATGAGCAGACAGGTCAACTGGATAGTCAGTGTGGGGAACTGGAAGATGCACTAAAATTCAGTCAATTATGAACGTTCAGTGTTTACAACAGGTTGGTGATCTATGAGGTGTGGCGATGCTGCTGGAAGCATTTTAGGAAAATCATGTTTCCAATCATCTACAGTCATGTCTTTGCTGTCTAGAGTCCTGATAGGTCAGGTTGGACTGGAAAAGTTGGGCCTCCATGCTATACATACATACATTTGATAGCGGCTGGAAAAATCTAACGCCACCAGAACCCAGATTTACTGTTTGTAACGCAGGTGAGGTTATTCAACTTCTGCATTTTCATCATTCCCATAACCCACAGCGGCCCACACAGGAAGTAATACCTAAAAAGCTTCTCCACTTCTAATGAATTTATGCCTAAATGTCTGAAACGCTGTGTATTTTTGTTTTGTTTTGTTGTTGTTCCTCAACTTTACTGATCTACACAGAAAAGCAACGAAGCAAACCTGCAGGCAGCCATAATTCTGTTTCCTGTTTTGGCATCAAAAGACGTAAAAAAACCCCAAAACTTCAAGGTTCATTTCCCAGTTACAACGTACAATGAATATGTGAGTGTATCAGGAGGAGAACGGTTTGCTCTGAAGGCAACACAACTCATCACCAACTGTTAAACACAAAGAGTAAAAGTCTTTCCTTACAAGTTTGTTTCCTTTCACCTCGCACCAGTCACATACGTGCAACCTCACGTCCACTTGAACTCTGTATTTCTACCGCGGTTATCATCTACATCCTGGTCTCAGCACCGAACACGCAGCTCCGCATTACTTATTAGTCAAATCTAAACAGCCCTGAGCCGCTCGCTGACAAGTCGCCTTTCAGCCTGTTTGCCACTCGGCTAAACATTAAACACATGGCATCATAGCTGAAACCTGCATCGTTCTCTCCCCCGCAGAGATCGCATCAGCAATCATTACCTTCCAACAACGACGCAACACGCTCGACAGCATCAAAGCCGCAGTGTTTGTTCGAGCTCATTTACAATCAGACCTGAGTTGTTTTGTAACTGTAATCCTTATTTTTTATTAATGACCACAGACTGAATTTTGGAAACACGTCTGACACTAATGAGTCCAACAAGTAATTATCAGTTAAATTAGTGTATATTTTAATTTTGTATGCAACCATTTTTCCCTCCTTTTACAAACAATATGTTGCACTGAAGAACTTTTCCATGCAATAGAACCGATCCGTCAGACCAGGAAACGCAGTCAGAAGAAATTCCATTCTCCGTTAAAAGTTGCCCCTTCCACCCGCCCGTCCACGCAGATCGGTGTCCTCCCTTCAACTTTTCCTTTTCTATTCACATCAGCGACCCTTCCCTTCCTGCCAACCCTCAGGGACGCTATTCTTCTCTCTGAAGAACAAAAGTTTCACACAGCGACGCCTGAAGGTTTAAGGTTTCCGTGGATCGCTTTACACACATCATCAAGTAAAATAGGATTCATGCTGTACGTACAGTATGTGTTGGTATAATTTTGCTCTTTGAACTCGAATCTGTAAGATCAGCCGACTGAGCGTTATTATCTGACATGCCAGGCTCTCTTTAGTTTGGGTGGATTTCACACGTTATCAGGAGGAACGGCTCGTATGAGGAAGTATATATATGCATGCGATTATACTTCTGCTGTTTGTGTAGGGCGTCTGACGGGACTAACGCCCTGCCAGCACGGGCTTCTGAGAATTAATAACCGTGTATGATTCAGAGACTCTTTCCTTTCCCGCTGTAGATCAGTGTTTAAGTGATGAAAAGCCGTCCTCTCAGCTGTAATCATCCTTCTGTCTAGTGTTGGGCTGGAGTCTGGCTTGTCTTTATTAACAATTGGATCTTATATACAGTATATAAATATAGAACGTTTGGTCCTTCAAATAAAAATGCAATACAGATATCAGATTAAACTGATTTTGAATTAATACTGCTGTTAGGATTCAGTCAAATGCTATGAATTAAACTAACATTTATAGTCACGTTTTACCCAAAATCTATTTTTACTATCAAAGCACAACATCACCGCTGGGAAAGTTTGTTTGTTTAAGTCTCAAAAAAAGAATTATTAACCCTCTAAACCCCAAAACCACCACGAACTAATGGAGCACCATGTGTCAAACTGTAAAACAGAAAAGAAATCAGATTTTTGACGTTTAGTTCCATCAGAAAAATTAACCACATCAGGAGCTGTGTTATTCTAAGTCTCAATTTTTAAGTCAAGTGACAAAAATTCAGGGACTTTTTTGGTTGAAACTAATTTAAAAATGTCTTTCTTTATGATTTATGGCACTACGACTGCGTCATACTGCACTAAAGACCTGCTTGAGTTCTCTCCTCTTCTGCTTTTGTTGTTTCCCTGAAGGTGCAGGACTTTACATTGCCAAGAAAAACGAGCCCACGCTGAGTAAAAACTGTGACAGGAGCAAAGATACACAGAGAAGCTGCTCAGGGTTCAGAGGGTGCGCTAACATCGGCATCACAACACAAATAACACAAACACAAAGCAGGATGCGGTTAAACAGTTGTTGTTAGACGACAGAGCTGATGGAGAGAAGTAGGAGGAGACCCAAACGGAGCAAACAGCAGAGTGAACATAGGACTTATATTCATCAGGTGGTCCAATAAAGGGAAAACTCTTGACTTAATGGGCAGCTACCAGGTATGAGAAATGGAATTACAGTCGCGACTCGATAACCCGACACTAAATGTAAAACCTTCTTTTATGTTGGATTGTCAAGACGGAGGTCGAGATACGAGGAGGGCTTGATGCTGGAAGGCTCATTAGTTGTTGTTCATAGTTGTTATAATAACTAGTAGGGCTGGTCCCAATAACACTTTCTGGTCTCTGGATATTCAGGCCCAATTAATGATGAATATCTGAATGTTCAGCGCGGTCAGCGGGGACCGCTACTTGGCTGCTGATGCTAGTTTAGGTCATACTTCTATTTCCACCATCGGCGGCGCCACCATCCATGTTTACTTCTATAAACGCACAAGCAAACAAGCACGCTCGCTGCGTGTGACGTCGTCGTGTCCTCTTCTGCGCATGCGGG